GGTGCCATCTCAGCAGCAATATGAATGACATACAACCCTGGACTAAAGATCAACAAAATGGACAAGTTAAAAAAAGAGCAGTAATGCAGTAAAACCAACAAGTTAAAGGTAAATACCTTGCTTGTGATGATGTCAGGCAGAGGAATTTAGATATAACTTCATGCTCATTCTTTTCTTTGCATGCCATGTATGCATCACGAATGCGTCGATCCCTCTTCCACACAAATTCTTTCAACAGCTTTGCATCACTGCTTGATATTTTTTTCTCAAGCACCCAACCATCAATGGTAAGCAATAAACAGCTCCAAAATTCCCAAGGCATATCATCAACTGGCTCATCTAATGCCCTTTTCTTGCTTTCTTCTTTCAAACTATCAAGGGTTTCCTGAAATTCCTTCACAGACTCTTGATATAATTGGACATATGAAAGTATCTCTTGATCAGACTTTTGAAGACGCTCTTCTAGTAGTTTCATCTTTTGCTGCATGAGTTCATTATATTGTTGCATTTTCTCAGATGACAACTTAAAGACATTAGCGTCTCTAAGAGATTCTTCCAATTTATCAACCTTCTTTCGGAGATCATGGTTTTGCTGTAACACTGAAATGGCTTGGTCAGCCTGTTTTGTTGCCTTATCCAGCAAGAGTTGCAAATTTTCTACCTTTGCCCATAGGTCCTTGCATTCAACCTTTAAAGTAGAAATATTTGAAGAGTCTTGCTGATAAACAGACAGTTTAGACTCCAACTCCTTCAAAGCAGACTCTAGAAAAGAGCGTTCATTTTCAAGAGTTACCATGCGCTCATTAGTGCCCTTGAAATTACTAAGCATAGACTTGAGCGCTTGGATATCATATTTTAGGGCTAGATTCTCTGTCCTCAAAGAATCAACCTCCTTGCTAAGAGAATGAACGTGACCATCACGTGCTAAAAGTGCTTCTTCTTTTGAAATTTTGTTTTGATTCTCACACAATTGAAGCTCACTTTTCCCAGAACCACCCCTATGAATCAACTCATTTCGCAACTTCTCTAGCTGATCTTCTAGGAGCTCCACATGTATCTTTTCTTGGGAAGCAACTTTAATCCGAGCATCAGCTTCTGCCAATCTCATTTCCAAAATGTTAATTTCTCCTTGCAGTGACTCCTTCTCACTGAGAATTTTATGAAGATCTTCTAGTGCATGAACCCGAGCTTGATTGAGAAGAAGGATATCTACATATGTTTAGAAACAGCAAGATATCTCATGTTTAGAAGAAGGATCATAGTGCATGAATATGATAACATGCATATATCTCTCTCTTCATGAAATGATAGAAAGGTGCATACTAAAGTACTACATAAAAATAAATTCAAGAGTTTCATAACAGCAAGATATCCCACTTCTCTCTGCATTTTTTATCATGCCTATCAGGTCCTCTAGCTGAACTCCTGAGACCTGCTCTCCACCATCTCTGTTTATGGCCTGCAAAAGAGAAAATGGCTTTCAAAAACGTAAATTTAAACCTTCAATTTACATAATTCCTATTAAGAAAACAGAAGATGGCCATTCAAAGGCAAAGAACACAGAAGAAGGAAGTATATGACTATGTATATCTCATAGTTCCATAAATAATTGTTTCTCCCAAACCTTTATATGTCTCTAACTTTAAGTTAAAAGGAAATCGCTTATATCAAATTGCAGGACACTCAACCAGATAATGCATCACTAAGGAATTCAGATCTTCTAATCATACTTCACCGCTTGAACAGTAGGAGTAAATAAAGCATCTTAACAGCCAAAGAAAAATCCAGGATGGCAAATTTGCTATTCGAAAAGCTCATGAAATTCTTGATTAACAAACTTCAACAAAGATATAATTATTCCACATGGTGCCTTGAATTTCTGACATTTATGCACCATCATTGAGAACTCAGAAGTATCATATTTGCTGGAACAGAAAAATTAACAATGGTAAATGTGTTCAATTATTCTTCCCATTTCACCATCATTCTATGGCGGTTCACGAAGACAAACAAATAAAATTAAAATATCTATACAGAACAAGAGCAGCACTAAACAATACAATTTGCATCCAGATTCACTTCTTGGAAAATGAAAGTACCAAAGCTTTTGTTACAGCAGGCAGTGTTAGACTGTCCAGATTCTGTCCATCAGTATGCTCTACATCTCTGTTAGTCTCAATGGCAGACACAGAAACAGTGCCCAAATTCTGTTCATTGATATGCTCCACATCTACCCTAGTATTAACATCATCTTCATAAGTAGTTTCATGTTGTACTATATGCTCCATATCTTCACTATTTGGGACAGAATTTTCAGGTTCAGATTCCTCATCGCTATTCGGCTGCAACTTCGCACTCTCTGGAATCTGGTCAGAAGGAGGTTTGTTCCCTTGTGGTCTCATATTTTGAGAACTGCATAAATTTCGATAGGGACATCAAATAAGTGGATAACATATCACCTTCCACTCCAAGATGCATAATAGGAAAGCAGCAGATAAAAGATCCAAAAGTTCTTGAGAATATAATTTATATGATGTAAAAATTGACAGCTACATATATTCTTTTTTTTTTAAGTACAACATGATTGTTCAAGAACTATTGAATTGTCAAGAAACTTGAACCAGATCACGGTCATTAAACAAGCTTATTACTAGCCTAGTTCTACAAACTTTTTGTTTTCTTTTTCTTTCTTGTCATTAAAATACAGAACCATGCTACATTCCAATAAACATTAGTTTGTTCTTGATAAGCCTAATCCATCATTAATTTCCATTTCGATATCAAAGTCTAGCCAAGAATGTGTAGCTTTTCTAAATTAGGGCCAAACGAAGCTCTCTTCAATCAAAAATTTCTCAAAAGCAAATTGAACAGAGCCTTGAAAACGTATTTAAACAAAAAAAAAAGCCAAAATCGATCGTTTAAACCGCTATGGATTCAAGAAAAGTACCTGAGATTCCTTCGCCGCATTTTACAAGAAGCTGGGAGCAAGCGACGAGAAGGCACGAACAGTAACCTCGGATTTACATGCTTCTTATAACAAACAACATTATTTTTATTATTACTATTGTGGTTCAAACTGATAAAGCCATGGCTAAAGAAGCAGGTTGATAGCTTTGCAGACATTTTCTTTCTCTTTTTTCTTTTTATTTTTGTTTGTTTGAAATGCGCAAAGCCTCGCTCTCTCTTCCTCTCTCGATGGTTTTAAGGGATTGGGAACAGAAGAATAACCGTTTTCTTTAGCTCAACGTTAACTTGCTGCCTCGAACCGGAAGATTAGTATAAAAAATTTAGTACCACTATATACTAAATAAAATAAATATCTGAAATGCTGATAATATCTCACTGGAGAGAGTAGAGAGCTGAGTCGTCTCCTTGAATCTTTATTTTTACGACAATCAAAGAATAATATGTATATGTTAGGTGTATTCTTGTTACGGTGTGAGTGTTTCGCTTATCCGAATCGAACGGACGAGGGTCTTGGAGAGGGTGTGAGGCTGGGGGCAGCGTTTATCCACTACTCTTTCTGTTGGGCTTAATGTGATTGATGGTGATGGGATGTGATCGGATAGGAAGTTTTGTGTGAGTGAGCTATAGAAAGAGCCCCACGTGGCATGTGAGAAGAAGGCAGGATGGAGATCTCCGTTTATGGAGAAAGTGACGGGATTTAAATCTTTAAATTAAATAAATGGAGATTAATTTAAGTTGGCATATCCATGTCTTTTCCCCTAAGGAAAGGAGACAATGGAGATTAGTAAAAGTAACTAAGCCGGATTTAGAGGTTTAATGAAATATTCGTTAAGCCATGGCACGTTTCTAGTTTAGTAGTCTATGATACATCATTTTGCTCTTCCTATAGAAAATTTTGGAATAATTTTATTGAAAAGAAGAAAAAAATATGATTATGTTATCAGGCATAAAAAATAAATTTAACGATTAATATTTTCGTGTTTTAATTATATTGTATAAATATAAAATATTTATAGTTATATATTTATAAACGTAAATGCATACATAATACAAATAATTAAATGTGTAAGAATCTTAAATGTGTGTACAAATATGTATATAACATGACAAAACTAATATGATTATTAAATTTTATACGACACAAAACAATTTGTTTACAACAATTACTATGATTAAAATTTATCTAATTTATAATATATTTATACAATGTATATAATTAACACAATTAAAATAAAATATAATTTATTATTCAAATTAATAACAAAAAATTATAAATATCATAATTTTTTTCAAATAGAATTAAATTTAACCTTAATAAATCTTAATCATAATAAAAATACTAATATTTTTATGATCAATAAATGAATCTTAATTTTGTATTAACATGTTTGAACAACACATGGCCACAACTAAATAAATGAGTCACAAGTATATGATAACATGATTAACTAATTACATTTTAATTAAATTTTAAACAAAGTAAGTGTGTTTGACGTAGTTAATACATAATTTATTTGTATTTTATTTGTATTAATATAATTAATTCATAAAACACAAGTAATTTAAACTCAAATCTATTTTAACTTGTATCATGTTGTATTGTCTTATACAAGATTATCATGTTTAAATTATAAAGTTTCACAAAAAGTTTATAGTTGGTTCTTTTATCTGAATATACACAAAGATATATAGTCATCTTAAATAAATACTATAGGTAAATATAGCAAAATGTAACCTTTTACATAAAAGTATTTCAATAGAAAATGCGTTTTATGTTGCAATAAGATACGGGATTTCACCATCTATAATTATTTGGAAATATTTTTTTGTCTCATTTTACTTTTTTATTTTCTTTGCAATTTTCATTTGCATATTTAGGATTTTATGTTGACGAGTGGATAGGCCCAAATTGGTGGAGTTAGAGCCCATATTTTAAGGGCTATTTGGGCCGTCCATAAGTGATGCCCTTGGGCCCAAACAATTCACAGAACAAAAAGTCCAAGGGAGCTGGGAACGTATTGCGCTGAAATAACGAGCGCAACGCAGTGGAATTGCGGGAAACGCTGGGAGTGCTGCAAGTTGTTAACTTCATTACCATTTTTTTCCTTTGTTTCCCTGTCAAAATCTTCTTCTTCATCATCGTGATATTATTTTTCAATTTCACCAATTTTTCGTTCCAATTCCAGCGCACAATTCCAATTCTTTGATCCCTAGATTTCGAAGCATCCATTCCAAAAAGTTCCTTTCTCAATCCTTCTTGATTCTCTATTTCGACGATTAAAATTTTGAATCAAATCTTCTACTCTGATTCTTTCTCTTATCCACACAGAGTTCCTCCTTGCGTAGTTTTGTTGAAAAAGCTCAAGAAATGGAGAAAAACAGTAGCTGTTGCTTCTCCAGTATATCTTCCAACCTTCCAATCACTTGTTTCATAACCTTTATTGCAATTATTTTAGTCCGAATTCTCTACGTGATTTGGCGAACCTGCAAGCCGCTGAGAAAAAGAACTTCGCAGCAGCCTCTCAGCACTCTCATTGTTTTGGGTTCAGGTGCTTTCAAATTTTGTTTTTCCTTTTTTCTTAATTGCCGTTGATTTTATGATGTTTAATCATGATCGTTGGTTTGTGATTTCTCGGTATAGGAGGACACACGGCAGAGATGGTTAATCTCTTGTTTGTTTTGCAAAAGAACAAGTTTACGCCGAGGTTTTATATAGCCGCTGCTACTGATAATATGAGTCTTCAGAAAGCTCGTGTGTTGGAGAATTCTTTGGCTGATTCGGTAAATTTTGCAACTCCGACTTCTGACTTTGTTATCAATGGCTATTAAGATTTTGATTTATTGCCTTTCCTCCATACGATTTCAGTTTGTTTAATGTGGTCTTTTGTTCATGGGGATACTATTTATATATTATTTATTTAATGAAAATACGTTGAATTATTAATCAACGGTATAATATTCTTATTAGTACCTTTTTTAACCCTTGGATGTGAATTTCGTTAATAATATAGCAGATATTGCAAGTTTTTTGGTTGTCATTTCTTTTTTTGAATCATCTTGGCTGCTTTCCTATGTTGGTACTTCCATTTTGCTATCTGTATATTTAGTGATTTTGTAAAATGTGAATTCGTAAACAGTTTGGCATTGGATGGAGGGCATGGCTTCCCTAGTTGTGCTTCTTATTGAGAAGTTGGATTGTGTTTCATATTCCTGTTTTGCTGATTACAAAAGGTTTGCTTCTTAAACTTATTGCAACTGCAGAGTGGGGTCAAGGAAATCTCTGCCGAGTTCATGCAGATCTATAGAAGCAGGGAAGTTGGTCAATCATATGTAACCTCTGTTTGGACAACTTTAGTGGCCCTGGCTCATGCATTGTGGCTGATGATTAAAATCAGACCTCAAGTGGTATTATTCCGTTCTGTATAACTTCTTTTCCCCTTCTAGTTGCTGTTTTTACTTAAAATAGATGCTTGAATCAAGTTTCATGTTCTAGCCTAAATGAAAAATAATCAAGTTTCTTGTTATAAACTCTACTTTAACTGCAGGTTCTTTGCAATGGCCCTGGTACTTGTATTCCTCTATGTGTAATTGCATTCAGTTTCAAGGTTTGCATGTTTCCCTTTTATCCATTTTATTTTGTATTGCCTTTCTCTCTTTGATAAAACTGATGGGATGGGAAAAAGAAAGACAGATAAAGTTAAATGCTCAAACATTTCTACATCTAAGATGATTGGAGCTAGCCATTTTTCTTGTAAATTTGCTGGCAGGTGGTTGGAATTAGATGGTCATCCATCTTTTATGTTGAGAGCATTGCAAGAGTAAAAAGGCTCTCTTTAAGTGGTTTGTTGCTTTACAAGTTACGGATTGCGGATCAGTTCTTTGTGCAATGGCCACAACTGCAGAGAAAATACCCTCGAGCTCATTATGTTGGTTGCCTGATGTAGTTAATTAAGTCCACTGCTGATGGGTACTCTCACTTAACCTCAAAGATTTTTGTTTTAATATTGTATTCTATATTTTAAAGTTTCTTTTTCTCTTTCTCTTCATTAGGATTTTAGTATTTCCTTGTTGGGTTAGTTTGATTACTGCAACATGATTTAATGTGGACCATGATATTTGACAAAAAGAATGATAGAATATGATATGGATTATCTCAAAATTTTGATAGTAACACTACACTTGCGCTTTAACAAAGACCATGTTAATTAATAAATTGCTGGCATATATGATTTCACTGCTTGAACATTAAGTTCTTAAATTGGTAACAAGTTTCTGGAACCTTTCAAGTGATTGTGGTATTTTTAGTGTCTATTATTTGCCCAAACTTTTTTAGATATATTACTTGCCATTTGATTCCAAATTTTAAAGCAATACTCTTAAGTTGTTGTTAATCTCTTCAACTTTATATGGAGGAACATTGTTGCATATTTTTTGGTTTTAGGGTGTAGTTGGCAAAGGACTTCTTAGGAATAACCAAATAAGTTTCTATTTCAACTTTTCTCTCCATGATTTTGTTAAATTTATTACTTAATATGAAAAAATTTCTACATAGCTTGGATTCAAACTTCCAACCCCTCTTTTTCTTCTCCTTTTCCCTCGAACATTTACATGTTTTCTAGGATGTGAGCAGCCTGAGCTGGGTTGATTGTTGAAGTACTTGAGCTTATCTTGGACAAACATGTAGCATAGCATGGCCAAATTGAATTTTTTTGGGCTGGCTGGAACACTGAGAGTTCCTTAATTAGGGAAATTATTAATATTAGTCACAAACTAGTAAGGGATTATCATGTATAAGGGAAGCTTGAGCAGCTTCAGTCGAGCTCATTTTTGAGTAATGCCTCCTGGTTTGTGATATGCAACCTACACTAAGGACATATACTCCAGCTTCAATAATTTTGGATAAGCCTGATTAAGGGCTTTGGCTTGATTTGCTAACTATGAGCTTCAATGAACCTTATGATATGCTGATCGCTAATGAGTTTAGCTTGAGTTTACAAGCATTTCTGTTGTTTGCTGAACATAACCATGTTTCTTTTCCCTATTTCACGTAACAATAATGGGTTGATCTGACATGATTGCAACAAACATCTTAGCTTCATTTATCTAATCTTCCCAGTCATTTTGGAATCTCTCATTGTTTCATGGTGTTCTGTTTTCTTTCTGTTTGAACTCCCTCCTGCTTTTTGTTCTTAAACTTCCTATTATAGAATGAGGCTAGTGAGACAGAATAGATTATTTATTTTCTTCTCCAATACCAATTAGCTTGGTCCAGCCTGCTTTTGTTAAGCATTACTACAGCCATACTTCAACCCTAGCCATTTTGGATGAAAATAGTATGAGAAACTGAGAATACATACAGAGTATGTAATTGTATGTAGTTTCCTAGTGCTATTTTTGGACTTTGGTATGTTTAACTTTCAACAGAGAAGCATGAGAAAGATTACTTTTGAGATTGTATTTCTTGTTTTGCCGAAAATGACAATCTCATATGGAACTGTGGAAGCCCAACTTATCCATTAACTAACCTCTTCAAGTAATGGACTCTTTGAAACTTCACTGCCACTTCTATATACACTCTTGGAGCTTTTATTGTCAAGATAACACTGATAGACATATGAGACAAAGCCCCATATGGCCAATGCCATAGCAATTACCTTTATTGCATCCATTTTCTCATGGAAAAAGATCACAGCTAGAATTGGGATAACAGGCAAACCCAAGACACTCATGGCATTGGAGAAGAGAGAAGACACTTCGAAAATCAATCCTATAGCCCCAACAACAAAAAACTCTGAAGCTATAGCCGTCTCAGTCAGGGTCATCACATAGGAAAACTTACCCAGTCCAAACTCCTCCATTTCTACTGACAAATTTTTCCATTCTCCACTGATGAAGAGCCCCACTATGGCAACAGAAGTGGCAATCACTGACTGATATATCACCATTTCAAAGACCTTTGCATGTGTTTCTCTTTTTAGAAGCTTTTTGAAGGCAAGTTGTGTCAGAGAAAGCATCAAGCCATACCCAGCAGACGCACCGATAGTGCATATGAATCCGATTGCATACTTTCTTTTAGAGACTTCAGCGTGGCTTGCTGGATCAGTTTGAAATATCAGGAGGGTGGAGGAGATGGTTAGTAAAACTAGTGAATTGATTATAAAAGGAGTGAACTTTTGTGAATGAAGGAAAAATGAGAAGAGAGCAGTGAAGGCTAATTGGGATGCACAAATGAGGGAAAAAGTTGATACTGGAAGGTATAAGAGTCCAATAGAATACATCAAGCTGTATGCTGCTAGGCAAATACCAAAAGAGAAATAGATTATTGCCAGTATCAAGGCAGATGGCTGCTTTGTTTGCTCATTTGTTGTGCAACTTTTAGGTGGTGAGAGGCAGTAACATGGAATGAGGATTGGGAAGCCTGCAAGTTGCGCAAGTGTAGCTACCCATACGCTCTTCCCTCCTTTGTCATAGTATAGGCGTCCCAAGAGTGTGGATGCTGACTGGCCGAACAGTACAAAGAATGCATACATGATGATACAGATCCACCACTTATAGTTTCTGGGTTCAGGGCTTGTTAGATTCTTGCTATTCAGATACTGAGGTGAGTTTTCTTCCTTGACTTCTTGAACTGTTAGAAATCATTAGCATAATTGTTATTCAAGGACTCAGTAACTAATTTGTCAAATGACGGGTGGTTTTTTTTTTAAAAGAAAATCTTGTATGTTCTGCGAACTCTAATATGTTGTATTACACTTTAAAAAATAAATCTCTGCCATTGAGTTTTCCCGACTAGCTTAAAAGTGAAGAACCATGGTTTGATATGTATACATGTTGAATGCAAAGTGAATGCATCTGAACTGGGAACCTGGGAAGTGTAAAAAGCAGTTAGCTATCAAAATAAATTTGTTGGAAGTCCCGGGGGGTGGGGGGGGGAGAGAAAGTGCAAGTTCTTTTAGGTGTTAATTTGGTTGCTAACTCTTGATTGTTGCCTTTGCCTTTTGTTTTTTTAAAAAAAGGCCATGAACAATTTTTGATGATATGAGAATTAAGGTTTAACTTTCATGGTTAAATAATGAGTAAGAAAATGGTTTTATTTGTGTGATTGTCCCAATTAATATTAGTATTTTTTGGGTAAACTTTATTTACCCTTTCTGTGATTTAAACTTTTTCTACCTAATATTTTGTGATTTTTTTGCCCTCAATTAGCATCTTGTGGATATTTTTTTTCAATAATATAGCAGCTTATGGATAATATATGTTTTCACAAGGGTTGAGCCGTTACTTTTATCTTATAAAAGTATCAAAGTACTCTTAATTCAAAGTTAGTCTATATGATTTTTTTTTAATTTAATAGAGCAAAACTAGTGGGATAACTTTTTGTGAGAGCCGAAATTATTTATAGTGTTAATTGAGAAAAGAATAACAAGCGACTAATTGAAAAAAAAAAAAAACCTACTGTATTATGTGGGAAAAGTTTAAATTATAAAGGGTATAGGTGAAGTGTATTGTATTTTTTTTAATTCTTTGTTAAGTTTCAGACAAATATGATTTTGTTTCTATCATTAATTTTTTTTTTTTGTGAAAAAATTTGAAAACATAAAAATAAATAGTAAAAGGTAAGTAATAAAAGTTGCAATCAAATGAAATTTTAGCTAACGATGTTGCATTATCTCATGGCAAGAAGATTTATAACAGTATGAATTAAAGGTAAGGGAAGAAATAAAGAGTTTAAGGTAAGTGAGAATTTCCTCGATGATGCGAAAATTAGTGTCTGTTTTCTGTAAGCTTAAAATCGGGAATTTAGCTGATGAGAGGTAAACGGTGCTTGAGCTCGTTGATAGCTTTACTCCATTTTAGCGACTTAAAGTTGGGCAAAAAGAGAACTGAATTGTCTAAGTTGCTACAATTTGACATCAAAATAAAGAAAAAAATGTCTTGTTCAAGAATTTTATATTGTCGATCTCTTCATTCAGGAGATTTTCTGGATGAAACAGAAGATAAAAGCTAATTATAAAATGGTTTTTGTAGTTTGCTTCCCTGATCTTTATATGAGTGGAGTTAGCTGACTTACCAATGATATGGAGTTGCAGTTCTTGAGGTTTTCCCATATCAAAGATGAAGAAGTTCCAAAAGCAGCCAGCCAGCCAGCCAGGGAGGAAGGAGAGAGAGAGGGAGGGACGGAGGGAGGGAGACAGAGAGTTTATACCAAAGAAAAATGTAGATATATATATACCACCAAAAATGTGGATAATGGCTATGCAAGTACTCCCATTGCCCAGAAAGAAAAGAATTCAAAAGAAAAGATCCATCCATTCCATGCCTAAGAAGTACGTTTGTCTGTAACAACATATCATTAATTGGATGATGATGATGGCTAATGTGTCCATAAATTTTGTGCAGAAATGAATCATGTGGATGTTTGGATTTGATTGGCCTGCGGGTGACTGAGAGAGACATGAAAAATTTGCATGAATGACATGCAATTTTGAAGGTTGTGGCTGTCCCAGGCATGGCTTTATCAAGGTCAATTAGTCAGCAATCAGTAATTATTCCATCATTTGCAATATTTACAGCTTCACGACAACATGAAAACCATATGCCTCATCAAAGGCATCAGTCAAGGTCATGCAATTAGTGCCTGATTGGACAAATTTTTTTTTATTTTAGTACATCACCATTATTTTCTTTGCTACATCTTGGATGCGCCGTAAAGCTCACTTCTTCAACCAGAGGAAGCTTTTAGAGCTTCATTCATTTATGTTTTTGAGTAAACTCTTCGACTTATGGTCATCAGCGTAATGGTGGTAGGCGTATGAAAGAAAGCCCCAGATAGCCAAAACCATGGCGACTACCTTTATACAATCCATTTTGTCACCAAAGAAGATAACCGCTAGAATTGGAACCACAGGCAACCCGAGAGCACTTACGGTATTGCCAAATTGAGAAGAAACCTCAAAAATCAGTCCTGTGACTCCAATGGCAAAGCCCTGCCATAATATAGATATCCATACTAAATTCATGACATATGATATCTTTCCAAGTTCATATTCTTCCATTTCTCCCTTTATACCTTTCCATTCTCCACTAGCAAAATGTCCCACCAGGATAGCACTTGCCGCTACTAGTGACTGATAGATTATCATATCCATGACTGCTGCAAGTGTATCCCCTTTTATAAGCTTCCGAAAGCAGAGCTGAGTCAAAGAGAGCACCAATCCGTTCCCCGCAGATGCACCAACAGTGCATATGAATCCGATCACAAACTGTCCTCTTGAGACTTACCGGGGAGTTGAAGAGGCACCGTGAGACACAAGGAGGATGGGGGAGATGGTGAGAAGGATCAGAGAATTGACTATGAAAGGAGTGAACTTTTGGGAATTGAGGAAATGGGAGAATAAAGCATTGAAAGCTAACTGGGATGCACAAATGAGGGAATATGCAGACACAGAAAGGTACCGCAATCCGGTCGAGTAAAGAAAGCAGTATGCTGCTACAAGTAGGCCGAGGGAGATATAAACTGATACAAGAATCATGGCGGATGGTGGCCTTGTGTTAGTGCTGGTTGCAGTTGAATTTTTGAGTGGTGAGAAGCATAGTAAAGAATGAGAACTGGGAAGCGTGCCAGTTGGATTAGTGTGGCCATCCATTGGCTCTTTCCACCTTTATCAAAGTACAGCCTTCCCAACATTGTACCAACTGCCTGGCCAGAAAGCACAAAGAGTGCATGCAAAACTATCCGTAGCCATTGCTTACAGTTTTTAAATCTAGGCGCTATTGATTGATTTGAAGCCTTCGTATGTTCCTTCGGTTCCCCTTCTTCAGTCTCCTGAACTGGTAAAAAACAAAGGATTGACAAAGGGAGCATCAATGAATGTTTCTGATGAACTTGGTTTTCCCTAAAACAATTGACTGTATGATATATTATACGATTGTTTCTCTTTTTCAGCCACCAAATCTTTATTTTGCAGAGCAGAGAGATTAGCAAGCCTGTTGAATTTTTTAAAGCATAATAAGAAATCAAAACAAAGAAAAGGGAAAAGGAAGAAATCGGTTCTATTAATTCTTTTAATTGATCTTCTCCCAAATATTTATAAAGCTGGCTAACCTGTGATCATTGAGTGTTGCAGTTGCGGAGCTTCTCCCATGTCAAAGACAAAGAAGTTCCTCGAAGATCAAGTTATAAGAAAAAGGACAGCTGAAGAGATGTTATAGACTCGTACTCAAATGACAATGAAACCATGTACATGCATAGCTTGCCATTCTTGAACGTGAATGGGGAATCAACCCATTGGGCCTTACTCCAATTTGTTACAGTGAAATTCCTTTGGGTAAAGACGTAAAGTCGTAATCTCCTTGCCACGATCCCTTGTGTGTACACGGTCCACGCAAAGCCGAAGAATGTGAGTAGAGAACAGAACCGTATCTCATTATCTTTTGGTAAGCCAACACGCCCGAAGGCATTGGTTCCCAATACGATGCTCCCATCCCATTAATTGGGTTTTGAACAGAAAAAAAAATTTCTTTTCAACCAATAAAATGGTTTTCACTAACAGTCTGCTCCAGGCAGTGAGGAGTTCCTTTTCAAAAAACAAAAAGTAAAACAAGAATTTGCCCCTAGGTGAGATCCCTCTTGTCACCTTAGCTAGTTGACATGCATGTTACTATGACAATTTGAGGAAAGGGGACGTGAACATTTTCTTGTTTACTAAGTTTTCTACTATTAGCATTATTAACTTATTATCGGTCATAAGACGAAGATAAAGATTCTACCAACTGCACCTGCTTCGGCTTCGCCCATTCATCAGCTATGGCGTGATCTTCCTTTGTCTAGATTGGTTAGATTATATTCTAACGTCAGGTTTCACGTCTTTTATTCTTATCACTAATCCACCAACCAACTTTTTCATCCATGCATGATATATATCTATATATAGTAAGATTTGGCCATAGTGATTCACTTCGTTATGGGAAGAGAATCTGAGGAAAACCCAAAATTTCGTTATATTCCTAGACTATTTACAGGCCAGTCAAGTTAATCATGCTTTTCATTTGCCCTTTTCCATGCCTTCTCGTTTCCCCTGTACTGCTCTACCTTCATCAATTCCATGTTCTTTTAGTAGAGCATTCGAGCATATATATATATATATATATATATATATATGACTCAAGAATATGTCTTGTAACAGATACGCATGGCTTTGAAAACTTCCTTTTCTGTTAGCATCCAGGAAGAGAGAATCTTGACCATTCAAAAAGAAAAGAAAAGATTATTACACAAAGTAGATCATCACCTCACCGGCAACTTGCTAAGTGGAAGTTGAAAGGAATATGAAAGAGAGAGAGAGAGAAATTATCTGCTCACAAAAGATTTATGCCTTTTTAACACATTTGGAAAGTGGTCGGAATCAGGAAACAGGCGACGCTTCTTATAAAGAAATGAAGCATGACACCTTAGTACATATTTTACTTGAAGGCTATGGCGGATGCAATTGCTGTAAGCCTCTCTGCAACATTGTGTATCAAGCATTCAAGCTTTCTAACAGCTGGGAATTGTAAGCCTAAGCTCCAATCTCCATCACAATCATTGATCAACCGATCAAGGATAGATTAATTTGATAGGAATTTGTCTTCCGGTCTATAACCTTTAATAAACTAGCAACAAGAAGAGACATATTGGTAGAAAGCTGGGTTTAAGCATGATTACCCTCTCCAGGAGAGAAATCTTCAGAAATGTCACTGGCTATTCTGTTTTCAATCTTCAGCTTTCGGTGGTCCAGATATTGCTGATAAACATAGGAAATGAAGCCCCTAATAGCCAGCACCATGGACATTCCCTTTATCCCGTCCATTTTATCATGGAAAATGAAGACAGCAATTACAGGAACAATAGGCAAACCAACTGTACTTACGCAAATGCTGTAAAGGGCAGACACCTCAAAAATTAATCCTACAGTACCAATAGCAAAAACCTGCCAACCCATAGCAGTCCAAAGCGAAGTCATGACATAGGAAACCTTCCCCAGTGCATATTCCTCCATTTCTCTCTTCAATCCCTTCCAATCCCCGCTAGCAAATAATCCCAACACTATTGTGGATAATGCAACCATTGATTGATATACTATAACATCAAGGAAAACTTAAAATGTTTACCTCTTTAGTACCTTTCGATAAGCGAGCTGGTCTGACGCAAGCAACAAACCGTAAATTGCAGCTCCACAAATGCTGCAAATGAACCCGGGTGCATACTCTCCTTTAGAGACTCCAGCAGGCTTTCCAGAGTTATTATTTACTACCAGGAGAACAGATGAACTAGTAAGGAGAACTAGAGAATTGATGATGAATGGAGTGAACTTTTGTGAACTCAGGAAATAAGAGAAGAAAGAATTAAAGGCCAACTGGGATGCCGTAATGAGAGTAACTGTAGAGACAGGAAGGTACTGTAACCCAACTGAATAAAGATAGCAGCTTCCAGCTGAAAGAAGCCCGAGGGGAACATAGACCAATATTACCAACTTCAGGAAGGATGGTGGATTTGGGTAATAATGTTATTTGCAGTGCGAGTCTTGCGTAGGAGAAAGCAGTAGCAAGGGAGTAGAATAGGGAAACCTCCAAGTTGGGCAAGTGTTGCCATCCATTTGCTGTTTCCACCTTTCTCAAAGTAAAGTCTTCAGAGAACTAGAGCTACCGACTGGCCGCAGAGGAGAAAGATTGTATAGACAACTATCAGGAGCCACCTTTTGTAGTTCCTAGATGGAGATCTTCTTATGTGGTTGGTAGCATTTATATGCTCGGTTGGATTTTCTTTAGCTTCTCGATCTGGCAAATGTAAAACCATTGTTTAGTTCTATGAATAACAGACACATGCTGTTTACAAATTGCATCTTTTTCCTTTTCCTTTCCCTTTCCCTTCCCTCTCGAAACCATACCCCCGCTAATAATGCTTCTAAACTCCATAGGATTTTGTCAAAAACATAAAATATGAACAATTCTACAAAACAAATATGTAGGGTGGCATCTGATCATATGAATGATAAATTCCATATATACAGAAACAAACTTGGAGTTGTTTGGAAGAAGACATGTTTCAAGGTAGCTGAAGATTTAACCTAATTACTATTGCAGTAGAACAATATTTGGTAAAGGAAAACTAGAAATCTTAGTCGTAATATATTCACTCAATGTCTGCAATTATACAACTCTGTCAGTTGCACTTTTTCTTGGGAAGAAAAGAGCAAAGAAACATGTTATGGACTTCCTGTCATGCTTCTAAGAGAATGTTTCAGTCAGCATTCCAGAAAACCGCCTTACCTGTGATATCGAGTTGCATCTGATGAATTTCTGCCATGTCTAGCTATCAGGCCGAGGATACAAAGATCAGCGAAGGATTTGCAGCCAGACATAAGACCAAGCACATGTATTTAAATAGTAGTCTAGCTCTGCCTAATCGCATTGCTGGTAATTGTGCAATTAGTCCTTAGTCCAACTGCTACGCTTTCTTGTTGCATGCACCTTAGTTTTTCCTTTTATTAAAAGAAAAATAAAAAAGAAGTACAACTATTATAACTTGAACCTATGTCATCTTCATCACTTATCTAACTTACCAAACTAAAGAGATAATGCAATGTAGACTTTTTATAATTAAGAACTCGAAAAATTTTAGTCTCTTTGATGACGTATAAATGTGTTTTAATGACATCATAAAAGGTTTTTTTTAAATAAGTTTTTGACGCAAATCTGGGGGAAAATTGAATATGAGTTTGACATCATCAAATTTTCTTAAAAACTCATTTTTATATTAAAAGATACTGCTAAAAAAAAATAAGGATAGGTTAGGTAACTTAGTATCCTACTAATTGACTTTTTAATTATTCTCCCAAATTATTATTTCTTTTCATTTTAGTCCATTCAATTATGCTAAGTTACAAGATTTTAAGCACATATTTATGTTCATAAACAATATTTCTTCCTTTTATGTTATTGGGATACAAACTTTTGTTTTTATATTTTTTCAATAATCCAATTTTTTTATATAATTTAAATATTATTATTGATCGAGAAAAAATAATAGAAGTGGGTGGTATTATGATAACATTGTTTTATGTACCAATTGTTTTATTTTTTATTATATCATCGTTATACTAATAATTTCAAGCTGTTCAGCTTTTTCCGGACAAAAAATATTTGAGAAAATTGAAGCCTTTTGTGTATAGTAAATGATGTGTTTTTCTCTTTTTAATTCTTGAATTATTGGTGAACAAGATTCCCTAAAGATTAAAATTTTCTTTTTCAAACAATCAAATACGTAATGCATCACTTTTCACTGTATACAAAACTTTCACTCTTTTTAAATAATCTTGAGAAGTAGGACAATGTTGCAGTTTCAAATTTCGTATTTTAGTCGGTCGGCGAATTGAATTTAATAATCATTTTTTCCGAAAAAAAAAAAGAAATTAGATAAGCATATGCTAATGATTATGAAAGGGTATTAAATTTGTCTGTTTAACATAAGTATTTTTGATTGATGAATATTGAGGTGCAACTTTTAATTAAGTGACAATTAGTAGAACTTTCATTATCTCAAACAAAATATACATATTTAATTAAAATATATTATTCTTCTTCAAAATATATCCTGTCATTTTTTGGTCGGTACTTTGATTTGAATGTTACGAAACATTTTGGTTGGGTAATTTTTTTTATTGGTTATTGAATTCAATTTCATGAGAACATTTACATGAATTTTAAATTTTTTAAATAAGTCATAGAAATTATAAAGGTTGTTTCAACAAATTGAATGTTTCATAAATATTTTTGAAATGGTTAATAAATAACGATTTTAAAATTTTACATGAAGAGTGATTAAGGATAATTATAAAAGTAATAATATTATATATATATATATATATCAAGTTTTATATATAATAATAAAAAAAATTAAAAATTAAATGATAAAACGGCAATCATCACACGCCATTAACTTAGTTCTACCCTAATAATTACTTAGATTACTAGACAAAATGGGAAGTGGATAAAGAAAACACGTTTTATAGGAAAGTGCTAACTTTCCACCTGCTTTGTGCGGTGAATCTCAATGTTTGCTGAAGCAGAGAGGTGGCTCGGCTATGCTTAACTAATATGTTAAGCCTCATGGCTTGTTTTAAAGCTTGAGCTTTTTCAATGCAATCATGGCTTAGCAAAAAAATATATTTAATCAAAACGTAAAATAGGATGAATAATGTAATAATATATATTGGTTATCAACTTCATCTATTAGGTGGAAGCCATTATGGGTTTGTTCTCGCCTTGAGAAAGATTCTTTATTGTCATAGTTTTTCGACAATTAGAGACTTTAATAGCACTTTGAAAAGTATTGTTACCACTTTTCTATATTAAAAAAAATTCTTAATATATTTTTTTGGAAGAAATTTATAGATTTAAACTTAGAATCTATTGGGAAGATCAGCAAATCTTAATATTTGACTAGTTCAATTGTTTGATTTAAATTCAATTATAGACCACACATTCAAGCACAAACTTAAATTCAATTTGGAGTGATATCAAATCTTATCTTTATTTTAATTAATATTTTAAAAGTAAAATTTTGGTCAACCTGAAAAGTGTGTTTTAAAAATTGTTCAACTTAAGAAAATTTGAGAATATTTTTTACTCTATTTTTCCAGAAAAAAAATCTTAACTTATTGTAAATGAATGTATGTGTCAATATCCTGACAGAAAAAACATAAGAATGGGAGCTGAAAACGGTATGTTTCAGCCCAAAGAAGACAATATAGATATGGGAATCTTCTTTTTTTTTCTCTGCATAAAGGAGTAATTTGCTGATTTTACTGCTAGATAGTAATGGTTATATGCTTGTAACTTGCTATAGTCCAGTTCAAAGGAACAGGCAATTTCCCTTGTGTCAAATGAACTAAATATAAGCATACATTTATACAATTCGGGGGTAGTCAGCAGGGCTATGACAAATACAAGTGGTCTCTTAGCTAGCTTCTCTTCTACAAAGGTGAAGGTGATGCATGCATGTCCAAGTCACCTTAATGATCGTACATCTGCAACGTATACCAAGCTTCCTAACAGCTGGAGATCGTAAGCCTAGCTTCAATGCCCATCACAATCATCAATCAACACATCTTCCAGCGAATAGCCTAATTTGATAGTAATCCTCAACCATTTCACAGGCTAATATAGGAAACATGATAGTAGAAACTTGAAATAAGGGAACAGGATCGGTCTTTTCATTCATTCATTCATAAAAGCTATTAAGCTAGACTCTATGGTCTGCACCCAACGGGGCGGGTGAATGTTTGGATTACCCTCTTCTAGTAGAACAAGCTTCAGAAATTGCACTGGTTTTTCATTTTTCTGTCTTGGACTTATAGTCATCAAGATAGTGCTGATAGACATAGGACATGAAGCCCAAATAGCCAGCACCATAGAGATTACCTTTACACCGTCCATTTGGTCGTCGAAAACAAAGAGCAATTATTGGAACAATAGGCAAACCAAATACACTTATGGCGTTGCAGAAGAGGCCAGACACCTCAAACACTAATTCCATAGCACCAATGGCTAAAACAGCCCAACATATAGCAGTTCAAAGCAAAAACATGACATAAGAAAAGTTCCCCAATTCATATTCCTTCATTTCTCTATTCAACCCTTTCCAATCTCCGCTAGCCAAAAAACCCACTAGTATAGCGCTTGATGCAATGAGTGATGGAAAGATTATCATATCCATGACATCAGTAAATGTCTAACTCTTCACAACCTTTCGAAAGGCAAGCGGCTGTAGAGCAAGCAACAGTCCACACCCAGCAGTTCCAAAAATGGTGCATATGAACCCAGCCGCATACTGTCCTTGAGAAACTCCATCAAGCATTGCGGAGTTATCTTGAAACACAAGGAGAACTGAGGAAATGGTGAGAAGAACTAGAGAATTGATGATGAAAGGAGTGAACTTTTTCGAATTAAGGAAATAGAAAAAGAAAGCATTGAAGGCCTGCCGAGATGCAGAAATGAGGGTAACTGTAGATACAAGAAGGTATTGCATGCCAACTGAACATAGAAAGCAATTTCCAGCTGAAAGTAGGCCAAGGGATACATACAACAAAACTAGCTTAAAGAACGATGGTGGTGTTGTTTCTATAATACTTGCATCGAGATCGTTGAACATTTTGCGTGAAGGCATGCAATAGAAAAGAAGGAGAATTGGGAAACCTGCAAGTTGAACAAGTGCTGCCAGCCACTTGCTATTTCCACCTTTCTCATAGTAAAGTCTGCCCAGCAGTACAGCTACTGACTGGCCGCAGAGGAGAAAGATTGTATAGAGGACTACCCGGAGCCACCGCTTGTAGTTGCCAGATCGGGACACGGTTATTTCTTGGTTGGTGGCATTTATATTCACAGCTGGAATTTCTTCTTTAGCTTCTTCTTCATCAGCTGGCATATATCAAACAATTATTTACTTCTCTTAGTAACATAACAAAAACATGTAATGGTCAAAACAGCTTCTTTTTCTTCTCATTTTCTTCCAAGAAAAATATTGCATTCTGCATTCATGCTTATAATTTTGTTTACGTTTTTGTCTGATATTGCAGATATTTGAAGTTACGGATAAGCATTGGATGGCATTTGCAAATTCTTTTTCTTTCATATGTTGGTGGTTCCAATAATTTGGTTAGCTAAAACATAAAGTTTAAGCCTAGCCGACTCCAGGTTCTTTTAGTCAGCCTGGTTGATTGGATTAATGATAAAATCCATGGACAGAAGCAAACTTGGAGTTCTTTTGAAGGAAAGACATGTTCCAACTTCCAAGGTAGTTCTAGATTTAACATAATTACTATCTCAGTAGAAAATATTCAGTCGACGAGAACATGAATCATAGTCAGAACAAAAATGACATGAATATAAATCAACCTCAACTTAAACTATGACCTCTAAGTGTGTGTGTGTCCGCTTACTTCAGCAGGAATATACAAAAATATAATCATTACTTTCCTAAGACGTGACACAATAGTTGGAAGCATACATCAGGTCCATAAATAATCCCTCTGATGGCAAATTTTTATTCTCTCTCTCTAACTAAAGTAAAGCCAACTTCAGAGATGATTCACATAGCATACGTTAAAAGTAATTATAAATAAGAAATTAAACTTCTGCAACTGAAATATCATATGAACACTGATCAGATGGGGGTACTGTTAACTTCTGTCTGGTGATAAATGATGCCATTAATTAGTCCATGCATGTACATGTCCCACTACCGACAACATATTGACCATTGGGATTTAGTTAGGATAATCAAATCATTGTCCTTGCCAAATACCATGTGCATCCATGGGCCGACACTTCCTAAAATGTTTTAATTTTTATATTACTTATTTAGGATTTAAGGTAGTTAATATACTAATAAATCTTTTTTTTTGTAATTTTATAAAAATTGAGGTCAAATACTCCAAGTAAAAATAATTTATTAAAAAAGTAATTTATGCATTAATATTTAAATACTACAAGGAAAGACAAAAAAATTTCTTTTTATAATTTATGTATTAATTTGAGTTTATAATTATAATCTAACTAATAGAAAATAGCATTATATATCAAATAATATCTTGAAATTATAAAAAAATTTTATTTTGTAGATATATTACTTAATAATTTAATTTTTGTATTTAGCTTTATGTGGTTTATGGATGCTTATATTTAGTTTTGATCAATGAATAAAAAATTATCATATTATTAATTACTAAACCTGATAATTTACATTTGCTATATAAGATCGTATTTTATTTAATTTTAATATTTTAATTTATGTTAATGAATAATAATTTTTAACAAGATTTATAATTTTAGATAAATAAGTCATAGATAGATATTTAAAAAAAAAAACTTATCTCACAATACTCAGATCTCGGACAACAACACAATTCTACTAATGATAAAACCCTAAATAATATATATTCTTTTAAACAAAATTATATTGAATTTGATCTAAATACTTTTCTAACAAATGTTAAGTTTAAGAAAAAAAATTTTGAACATCATCCTAATGACATCACTTAAAAAAAATTTTATATCCGTCCTTGTGCACATCTCTTAGTTTTTAATGAATTTTTTTAATCTAAAACCGAAGGCCCTTACATACTCGATAGGAACAAATTGATGTTGGTAGACTTGGAAAGGGCAGGTTCGAGAATTTAATTTCTGAGATACTACTAATAATTTTATTCATACAGTGAGTGTGTATAAAAATAATTGTGCTTCATTATCCTACAAAATGGGTCATTAATCTATTGCGATGATTACAAGACCTTATTATTTATTTAATAGGGGAAGGGATGGGCCCCTTAGGCACCTGATAAAATTGGGATAATGCACTTTTATATACACTAATAACAATATTGTTTATTATAATTTATGTTCTTTTCATTGCTGTTAATAAACAATGTCAAGTTGATCGGTCCTTTTAAATCAGAAAAAGATAAAAGAAAAAGCCAATCAGTCGTCAGAGAGGATTGGAATTTATCCTTTAATTTGTCCTTTTGTGTGTGTTATTAATTAGACCAAGCTAGCATAAGTAGAATTAGAAATTTAAAATTACCCTTTCAAGAAATGGACGTCTTCTTTTGACTCTTGATGTAAGGGTGAATAATTGAATCTACCAAAGATTAAAGTTTTCTTTTAAGGAGCAGTAGTGTTTCTAATGACAAACCTACTACGTAATTAATTGAGGATTAGTTTATAATAATTGGACAAGGACAGTAGCCGCCAAGGTGCTTTGATTTCGTAGCACTATCATGTCTTTCTGTAGCCAAAGGCGGTCGACCGGAGAAGCGTTGCACGTCAAACGCAAAACCAAAAACCAATGAAAATAATTAACAATGTCGTGTTAATATAATTAGAATATAATTAATTAAGAGTCAATGACACTCCAGGCGACTTTGGACGCACTCTTCTGCCTTCTATGTGCATCTTTAATTGATTATTAGTAAAATTTTTATGATTGGTTGAGAAAAAGAAAATTAGAATGTATCATGAGGCGTGAAGAACTACAATTAATGTGGATATTCTAGAATTATTCATTAATAATTGAAAGCTGTTGATGGTTGTGATCCTCTTATTTTTGGCCCGGCCAAGTTGATGGTGTGATGTTGATCAGAGCGTAGCCCTTGTGACTGGTCTATATGATATTTTGTTTTCGCCTTTAATGAGGAAATGCACAAAAAGCCGTGCAAAAGAACAAATAATGCTACCCACTACTGCTTGATGGACTCCATTCAAGGAAACAAGTTTGAGCGTTAAGTATTCCAACGGCTATATCCTGGCACAGTGTAACAAGCTAAATTAAAGAGAACCCAACAATGAAAAAGAAAAGAACATATAATACCTCAGAAAAGAGCTTTTGTAGTTGATTATACATGAGTTAATAGAGGAGTATTTGAGCAGGAAATTCTATGAAAATGTAAATTTTCCTGTCGTTGGAACTAGCTATGTATAAATGCATGAGCTCTTGCCGTGTAACTACTTTGTTGTTGACATTAAACTTTTCCGGTCTAAGACCTGCGGTCATCGAGATAGTGCTGGTAAACGTAGGAAACAAAGCCCCATATAGCCAATACCATGGCAATCGCCTTAATTCCAGTCATTGTTTCGTGGAAAAATATCACTGCCAAGACTGGGACGATGGGTAGCCCTAGAGTGCTGATGACGTTTGAGAATAGTGCAGAGACTTCGAAGATCAACCCCACCGCACCGATCGAGAAAACTTGCCATGTTATAGCAGTCCAAACTAAAACCATCACGTACGAAACTTTGCCTAGTTCAAACGCTTTCATTTCTCTATCTAAACCTTTCCAGTCCCCGCTAGCAAAAAGTCCCACGAGGATTATGAGAGTTGCAACCACTGACTGGTAGATTATCATGTCCAAGACAGTCTTGAACGTTTGCTTCTTGAGAACTTTCTGGAAACAGAGTTGTGTTAGTGAAAGCATTAGTCCGTACCCAGCCGAAGCGGCAACGGTACATACAAATCCAATTGCGTACTTTCCTTTAGAGACGGAT